AGTTTATTAAAACCTCACATGGTTGAGGTGTGTGTGAGGTCAAGCAAAAGCAGCCACCAGGTATTGTCACAAATAAATTTATGTCATATATCTTCTAGGCTCTAGCTTTTCCAGATTTCTCAATCTCTTTCGTTTGTTTTTCGAAGCGAAAATATCTGAAGTCAGTACACCATCTCTGCAACCCTTTGTAGCAGAAGAGGAGAACCAAACGACTGCAACATTTAATAAAAAAATTGCTTGTTTTTTAATCTCTGCAAACTGTTAAAATAAGTTAAAGTAATGTGTGAAGAGGTTTAAAGCAGAGGGTCAAGTGTTGCGCCACGCAACACATGCACAACAGTTTTTAAGTCAGAAGTCTTTTAAAAAACAAACAGCTGAACGACGCAACAATAAGTGGTTAGAAGAAGTTTTTTAGACAGCACCTTAGTGTAGAATGTTACACATAATAGCCAAACTGAAACCTCAAAAAGGGTTCCTTGCCACTTACAACTTATCTTCTTTTAAAAGCACAGGTGATGACACATTGTTTCATTCTAATTGACGTGAATTCTGGTACTCGGAATATGTCTTACGTATGCATGATTATTAGTTATATGTTTAAATAAAAATAATAATAATAAAGGTTTTGTGAAGAGGATGTCCCTTTGACATTTTGGAATTGGAGAAGAATCTCCATAGTCAACTCTATTTTGTCATTATCCCATGTTATTCTTATAATACGAACAACAGAATGTTCCCCATAACTCTATAAATATATAATAGCACAAAGATTAATTAGGAGCTTCAACACTATTAATCTCATACTCCTTTTAATTAATTTCTTGAAACCAAATTCATCACTCATGCATCTCCTCCTATATTTCCTTTTCCTTTTCCTTTTCATATGCAGCAACCTCAACTATGCTGAAACAAGGTGCGTGGAGCGTGACCGAAGGGCACTCTTGGAATTCAAAAAAGGGCTCACGGACGATTACGCCCTTCTCAAATCATGGAGAAATAACAACGCTTCACGAGATTGCTGTAAATGGAGAGGCGTAGGATGCAACAACAACACTGACCAAGTCATTAAACTTGATCTTCCTGCAGTCTGGTCAGATGAACTCGAACAATTACTTAGTCTCAGTGGTGAAATTGATTCTTCATTGCTTTCATTAAATTCTTTGACATATTTAGATTTGAGTGGAAACAGTTTCACTCGTATCCCAAACTTCCTTGGTTCCCTCAAAACACTACAACACCTCAAACTCGCTAACATTGAGTTAACTTCATCAAAATTTCCGCATCAATTAGGCAATCTTTCCAACTTACAAACTCTTGATCTGTTAGCTACACCTGTGGTGATGAAGAACACAGATTGGCTCTCTCGTCTTTCCTCTCTCAAATACCTAAATCTTAGTTATATAGACTTGAGTGAATCTGTTGGGTTACTTAATAACGCCATCAGATTGCCCTCCCTTGTAGAGTTGCACCTTGCAAACTGCTTACTTCCAAATAACACTGACAAATCATTTGTTCGTTCCATGACAAACTTATCAGTTGTTGATATAAGTTATAACGATCTTCCAAACTCTATGATATACCCTTGGTTATTCAATTTTAGTAGCACCCTTACTTACATCGATCTATCTAACAATAAGCTACTTGGTATCATTCCTGAAGCATTTGGTACATTTAAAAACCTCCAAACCCTAGATTTGACCAACAATGGCCTCGAAGGTGGTATCCCGGTTTCATTTCAGAACTTGACCAACATTCGGGAACTTGTTATATCTGGGAACAATCTGAATCAAGATCTTCCTAGTTTTTTCGATAAACTCTCTGGTTTAGGTCCACAGAGGACATTACAAGTTGTGGATTTATATGACAATCAATTTACTGGTAATTTACCTGATTTTACAACATTCACGTCTCTCAAGGAACTGCTCATTGGACGCAATCAGTTGAACGGATCTTTCCCAGAAAAATTTGAAAAAGTCTCGAATCTTTCCATCCTTGATTTGGCGGATAACCGTATCAATGGATTTCTCCCAAATCTTTCTGTTTTCGCTTCTTTGCGGGAATTGTATTTTGAGAGAAACCTATTAAATGGAACTCTAGCTGAAAAGTTAGAGCCTCTCTCTAAGCTCGAGTCTTTGGGCGCGTCTTCGAATTTCTTTCAAGGAACGATATCTGAAACGCATGTCGCTAATCTTTCTCGTTTGACGTTCCTTGATCTGTCGTTTAATTCGTTGGATTTAGAAATCGGTTCCGATTGGTCTGCAACTTTTCAACTCGAAACCATCTCGTTGTCATCCTGCAAACTCGGGAGTTCTTTCCCGCGATGGCTAAGAACTCAAACGAACTTCTCCGTGCTTGATATATCTAACGCCGGAATCAATGATTCCGTCCCCAGTTGGTTCTGGGAGTCGTTGATTCCGGGTATTCGTTACTTAAATCTCTCCTCGAACCAGATGCATGGAATGATTCCGGATTTGGATTTTATATCCGGTAACCAACCTATAATCGATATGAGCTCAAATAACTTCTCGGGTAACTTACCTTTGTTTCCTCTTGACATCGTTACTCTAAAGCTCAATGACAACATCTTATCCGGGTCGATTTCTTCCTTGTGTAACCTAACTAGTTTAAGCCACCTTGATCTTTCTAATAACAAACTGTCGGGAGAGCTTCCAAACTGCTGGAACAACCTTAACAACCTGAATATTCTCAACCTTGAAAACAATGGATTTATCGGGAAAGTTCCCGACTCGATTGGGGCTCTCGAGTTTGTTAAAATGATGAGTTTACGAGGCAATAGCTTGATCGGGGAGCTGCCTACGTCCTTACAAAACTGCACTTCATTGCTACTTCTTGATCTTGGAGAAAATGAAATATCGGGTAATATACCTGAATGGTTAGGGGAAAGCTTTTCAATGTTGCTTGTTCTTAGCTTATCATCAAATCGGTTCAATGGAACCATTCCTACAAGCATATGTAAGCTCAAGAACATTCAAATTTTAGACCTCTCAGTTAACGATATCACCTGGAAAATACCGAAATGCCTCAATAACATTTCGGGGATGATAATGAGGGAGAAAGGGATACTGCAAGCAAGTATTGAGTACAACGCAATCGGGTTGGATCAAAGCAGACTTATTATCACAGCTAGGGTTGTGTTTAAAGTATTACTGCAATGGAAAGGAAGGCAATCGGAGTACCAAAAGACATTGGGTCTTGTCGTTAGCCTTGATCTTTCTTCCAATAGACTAACGGGCGAAATCCCAAGTGAAATCACGAGTCTTTCGCTTCTCATTGCCTTGAATCTTTCAAGAAACAGCTTAATTGGATCAATACCCAAAGACATCGGTCGATTGAGACAGTTGGATTTTCTTGATCTATCGAGAAACGACCTTCTTGGTGGAATCCCTACAAGCCTTTCGGAGTTGAGTAATCTTGGGGTGTTGGATTTGTCCTTCAACAACTTGTCGGGAAGAATCCCGAAGGGGACGCAGTTACAGAGCTTTGACGTGTCATCATACGCTGGAAATCTTGCACTTTGTGGGGTTCCACTGAAAAACGTATGCCCTGGTGATGAGACAAACAGTGGAAACCCAAACCCAGATGGTGTTACTGATGATAATGATAAGATGATAAACAAGGGGTTCATTTTTGGCATTGTGGCTGGTTTTGCGTTTGGGTTTTGGGGTTTTTATGGGTCGTTGGTTCTAAAAGAGTCATGGAGACATGCGTATTATGGATTCTTGAATGTTGTCAAAGATTGGGTTCTTTTAAGAGTGGAGTTGACTTTGGCTAGGCTGAGAAGGCGAACTTCATCTTAAATCTCCACATGACTACAAGTAATTGTTATGTGTTGTGACTTGTGTTGTTCATCTGTATTTATTTTTATCCTGCTATTTTAAATCTTTTGTTGATCAGTAATATTGTTCATTGAACTGCATCAACTGCCTAAATACATTACAAGACACTGAATTGCATATACAAGACACTCAATTTCTTTTTATCCAAATACCGAAGACAATTTATGATACGACACGACAAAAATACACGATACGAACCGAAATTAGGACGAAACTAAAATTTTAATTCGTGTTTGTGTCGTTTTCGTGTTAACTGTAAAAAACACGATGTCGTGTCGTGTTCGCATTCAAAATTCGACACGAAATTGATGCGATTTAACAGTTTTTTATTATGTTTTTCATGTTTGTGGTGTTATATTTGGTAAAGTATTCATAAAAAAAACTAGTTTTTACTATATGTTATATTTTTTATGTTGTATCGTGTTTGTTGTTTTTTAATTCGTTAATTTTTGTGTTAGTTAAAAAAACACGACATCGTGTCATGTTGTGTTCGTGTTACATAAAACTTTATCATTTCGTGTCGTGTCAGACAGAAACACGAAACGATAACACGATTTGTCACCCTTATTTGAGCTGGAGTTGTTTGAGATATTGTTATAGATATACGAATAAATTTATTTTTATTTATGTCTTATAATAAAAACTCTATAGTGAATTATAATAAATACTCTTCATCAAATTGCTTTATTTTTAATTTGGTCAATGAGAATTTGACTTATTAAGATAATTAAGTATTTCAAATGTTCACATATGGGTAATATTGTTTTTTTTTTTGTACTCATTTACCCAATTAACTTTTTTCATCCGTTCAAAATTAACCAACATTACCGACTATTACTTGTTTTAGCCGGTAACATTGATTTAGCTCGGTTGAAAACATTACGTGGCCATTACACCCCTTTCGCAATTAATTAGGGTTCGTCATCGTCAGCTAACACACCTCGATTACCTTCTTCTGTGAGAAATCAATCGATACATCAAATCGACGATTAGGGCTTGGAATTGAAGTTGGAATTGAAGTCGACTGCTAGCATGGCATCCTCATTTACAAGTATGTATGTATCTGTAAATTTTCATTACAATGGATTCTTTTCGCCAAACCCATTTGTGTACTTAGACCCCGTAAAAACAAATGTACGTGATATGGATTTTGAGGGATTTACATATAAAGAGTTTCTTTTGTGGCTTATGAAATTAACCAATGGAGCCTGTGATAATGTCTACTACTGTATAAGAAAGGAAAGCTTATGTGAGGGTATTAGAAGAATCGACAGCGATGCTGATTATTGGGAGTTTGTGGAAACTGTTTATAGTTTGGAGAGTGATAGTCTTGAGAGTGAGTTAGATGTGTACATTGACCACCGAAATGAACCAATTCTTGATTGGGCTGATAACGAGTTCTTAGCAGGTGGTAAAGGGTATGAGTCGGATGAGTTGGATGAAGAGGATGACAAGGATTCTGAAGTTTCAATGACAATGGAATATGAACATGAATGGGATGATGAAGAGGAACATACTTTTGATAAAACTGTTGGAGACCCATTCTTGGACAAACTTTCAGGGCATGTTAGTGATGATGATGAAGAGGAAGCAAAAAATGGGAAGCTTAAGGATGTTGTATTCCCTATCCATAATGAGAATCAAGAATGGGAGCAAATGGTGCTAGTTTTGGGTATGAAGTTTTCTAATCCATTGGAATTGAAGTTGTGTATCACCAACTATGCAGTAAAAAATGGATATGATTTATGGTATGAGAAAAGTGATCATGAAAGGTTATTGGTAAAATGTTGTAAAGGTAAGACAAATAAACAGGGTAAAGGTTGTCCCTTTAGGTTGTGGGCAACCTGGATGAGCAGTGAAAAATCATTCCAGATTAAATCTCTGAATGATATGCATAATTGTTCAAGAGTGTTCAAATTTGGGTCTATTGTTACCTATAAATGGATAGCAAAGCATTTCATGAATCATATACTTTAGAAACCAAAGATGAGTATAAGGAAGTTGAAAGCTAAAGTCAGTAAGAAATTTAATTTGATTGCAAGTGTTGGTAAATGCAGAAATGCAAGGAAGTATGCATTTCAGGAGATAGAGGGTACTTTGAAAGAACATTATGCAAAAACATGGAGCTATGGAGAAGAGATAAGAAGGACTAACCCTGGATCAACAGTGAAGATGGATGTAGATGTCATGCCTGATGGAACCACATATTTCTCAAAGTTTTATGTATGTTTCAAGTGATTGAAGGATGGATGGATTGAAGGTTGTAGGAGGGTAATTGGACTAGATGGTTGTTTCCTAAAGGGCATATGCAGAGGTCAGTTGCTCTCTGCTATAGGTAGAGATGAAAATAACCATATATATCACATTGCTTGGGCTGTTGTATCAGTGGAAAGTAAAGAAACATGGAAGTTGTTTATTAACCTTTTAATTGAGGACCTTGGAATGGGAATTGGGCATGGACTAACCTTGATATCATACCAACACAAAGTAATCAATTTTTATTATTTCCATCTTTATTTTAGCTTATGTTATGTTTTTGTTGTTTAAGTTTTGTGGCTATTGCTAACAAGTAATTCAAAAAAGGTAAAGTGAAGGTTACATTGGCACATGAAGTTGATATTGATAGTGACAATGAAGTTGAAATAGAACCTGAAAGTGATGTTGACTCTTTTGATCTTGAATTTGAAAATGATGTGCAACCTGAAGTTGAAGATGGAGTAGAACTTGAAGTCCAAGATAGAGTGCAACATAAAGTTCAAGATGAAGTGCAAGTTGAAGTTGAACCTGAAATTCATCCTGAAGTTCATGATGATAACCAAATTGAAGTTCACCCTGCAGTTCAAGCTGAAGTTGAACCTGAAGTGCAAAGTTCAAGTTGAAGATGCTAACCAAATTGTAGTTCAAGATCAAGTGGAAATATCATCTTTTCAAATTGTAGTGGGAAAGAGGGCAAGGAAACCTTCAGAAAGAATTAGAAAACTGAAGATAAGAAAGATGTGGGAGGGAAAATAAGGAAGTAGTGATGACAATCCGTATGAGTTGGATTAACTTTTGGCTTATTGTACTGTTGTTAATGTTTTTGGCATCTTTGACTGACATCTTTTAACTTTGGAATCTTTTGGCACATCTTTTGAAAACTAGTTGGAATAGCTTAAATGCATGTTTAAGTGAGTAGTGTTTAACTTTTTGCATATCTTTTGGGTGTAATGAATGTTTAACTATGTTATGTAAAACTTTTGACACATCTTTTAAAGTCAATGTTCCCTAGAATGTTTATAATGTATTACCATCTTTTTCACATCTTTTTAATACCATTTGTATTGTTTATAATTTATTACCATCTTTTAGAATATCAACTGTAATCACAATTCCATTACAGTGTAATCACAATTCCATTACATTGTTTGAACAATTCCATTCCAATGATTCACAATAACATTACAAGTTTTGTATACTACCATTCCAATGATTCAATTCTAACGATTTAATTACAATGATTCAATTCCATTACAATGTTTATTACTATCTTTTATACTACCAAGTTTAATAACAATTCCATTACAATGTACAATTCCATTCCAATGATAGAATATAACCTTTTTCATTGAAAACATTACAAAAGCATACATAATTGGTCATACTACATCATAATACATAATTTAAAACAACATTTTGACATACAAGAGAAACAAGAAAAGTAATGAAGTCTATGGGTAAACAATTTCCAATTGACTTTGTCAAGTTCTTTTTTATTTCTGTTCTTCTCTTCTTCAATCTTCATCCTGCATATGCTGATTTCATTCTCCAAGGTACAAATTTTCAATGTAAGATTGCAGCTTTCTTTTGCTTTCATTCTATAATGCCCTTTTCCATCTTTCCTCCCTTCATCCTCATCCAACCATTGCTAAAATTTACAACTTGAACTTTTTCCATTCTTCAGGAAATTTATAAAAACATGTTAAATTGAAGGATGAAGAAGAAGTAAAAAATATGAATTACCAGTGAGTTTTGACAAACTCTGAATTTCCTTCCAGGATTATCTGAAGTTCTTGATGTCTTCACACGAGATGGCAAGTCACAATCACATGGATGATCCAGTTGCAATTCATCTTGTCGTTTGGAACAAAAGGATGAGGAAAAAGATGCCATCGATTGATCTTGGGTTTTAATTAATAAGCAGTCGTATCTCACCCTTCTTATAATGCAAACACTTCTCAATGCCACGTAGGTGATGAGGTTCTTGATGTCTTCACACGAGATGGCAAGTCGCAATCACATGGATGATTCGGTTGCAATTCATCTTGTCGTTTGGAACAAAAGGATAAGGAAAAAGATGCCATTGATTGATCTTGGGTTTTAATTAATAAGCAGTCGTATCTCACCCTTCTTATAATGCAAACACTTCTCAATGTCACGTAGGTGATGAGTATTACAGCGTACAAGCCACGTAGATGCCACATCATCCAAAACCTACAATAGCCGGTAAAGTTGGTTATTTGTGAACGGTTGAAACAAATTAGTTGGGTAAATGGGTACAACAAAAAACAATATTACTTATACGTGAACATTTGAAATACTTAATTACTTAATAAATCAAAATCCCTTTAGTCAATCTTTATTTCTCACACACGCACCAGCTGTCCTTATTCATATTCATATTAGATATTAGATGTTATATTATTAGATGAAATACAATTTTATAATGTTTGACCCAGTAGATAATGCTGCAAAGAAACGGACAATTATTAGTTATATATTTAAATTTTAAAATATTGTAAAATAAGTAGAAAATCTAGTAGATTGAAACGGTACAATGCTTTTGAGAATGGTAAGAAATGGAGATACATCTTGATATTTATTTTGGTTGAAAGATAAATATTAGAATTTTTGGAGAAAAATGATAGTTTATTCGAAATTGGTAAAAAAAAAATAATTGATTGAAGACTCTATTTCCTTGACAAGTCATTGCCGAGTTTGGATGTTGAACTCAACACCACGAACTTAAGAGCGGGTGTTTGTTGAGCCGATTTAGCCCAGGCCAAATCCACCCTTGACCCTCCAATCTGATGTTTCATAGTTCATACCACCTTTGACATTTTAGAGAACTACAGAATTTACTTGGTCAACTCTAGATTGGCATTATCGTATCTTAATTTTATAATGACGAGAATATTGTCCAAAGTAACTAATAATGAAAACATGCCAATCCTAATTTTAAAAAAAGATAACATTACTATAATTGTGGATTACATTTTTGTTAGTTGATTTTTTGAATATGTTTGTTTTATTTTTCGGAAAAATAATCAATTTAACATTTAGAACTATTTTTTCTATAAAAGTATATATCTTTAAAAAATTTATACGTAAACATTTATTTGTATAAATTTATAAAATACATTTAGATATGGGTCCTGAGAAATTAAATATCCCCAAAGATCCAGGATGAACTAAAAAAACTAATGACCCTAATCTTTAATAAAAGTTTTTATTTCTAAATAAAAATAGATATAATATATAATAATAATAATTGAGTTCTATGCAATTGTCCGCTTTACCTTCCCTCAACATCCCGCCATGGATATACAAGTTTAAATATAAAAATACATATATATATATATATATATATATATATATATATTTGTAAAAATAATTCATTTATACAAATCAATATATATATATATATATATATATATATATATATATATATATATATATATATATATATATATATATATATATATATATACTTAAAAAATAAGTACGGATATTAAAAGATTTAAAAAAAAACATACCAAAAATACACGTTATATACAATAAGGGTAGCATTTTATTTCAACCATGAGGCTATAATCTCCAACTTATCATGAGTACGAGCTAGTCACATCAATCAAATACTCTTTCACATGATATTCACCATGATTGAAGAATGGTGTTTACTACATTCTTACCGGTGGGAAGAGAAATATATAACGGAGGGATAAAAAGGGGCCGGGGGGGGGGGGGGGGGGGGGGTGGTTAAGAAATAGATTGTGAAGATGCGTAGATGGAATCACAAGAACTCAAATTATTACCATGTAAGGGTGTTCCGTTAGCATACACATAATGGAAGCAATAATTCCGTTTAGCCTAAGGCTTCACTTAGTGGTAAGATCCTCACAAAAGTAAGAACTGACCCATGTTTGATTCTTGTCTTCTCCATTTTTGTTTCCCTTTAAAAGTTAGCAGACTTTACAACAATATATTATATTAATGAATGTTGAAATTGAAAATGTGTCTCGGCTTATTGGTGGAGTTGACGCCTCTGTAACATCCCAAAAATCACAACAAATTTAAAATTTTCAAAAATAACCCCAAACCATAAATGTTTACAAAACCATTGGTTCAAAAGTGTATTTCGGTAATCAGATTATCCCAAAATCCAAATAACATAAAACTGAAGGATGTGCACGGTCATGCCTTCGTCTTGCCATTGTCATTTGAAGCACCTGAAACAATAAACTGAAACTGTAAACCAAAGCTTGGTGAGTTCCCCCAAAGTACCAACACACATAACGGGTCCACAACCTCGTGGTTGGATAACCTTTGACCCACAACCTTAAGGTTCGATTGTCCGGTCTATTGACTGTCAGCACAAAGCAGTAGTCTCAACCTCAATATAACATGTCGACATATACATAACAAATACCATATATCCAACAATAGATGATCATATAGCCAGTCAGCAGACAAACAAGAAGATATACAGATCGCTACCGCATAGCAAGATCCTATATACTAGGATACAAAATCTAGTGGACCGATATTGGTGCCTTCGACCCACAAGTACAATGATAAAAACTCACCTTAATAAGAAGAAAGCAAATCTCACACCTAAGTATGTTACACAACAGTTCCTCATGCTGAACATAATCAATACCACCCCTAGTTATTTTCTAAGGTCAAACCCATAATCATGCGGCCCAAGTCCAAACTAGGCCCACTAATGGCCCAACCCATCTAGAGAACCCCTAAGGCTCAAATGTTCCAAAAGATCTCAAGTTAACGGTCCAAACTCCAACAGTTGACCCTCACGTCTGACCACTTTTGGAGTCACGTCGTGATTCAATCCGGACAAAACAGTCGGGATGCAAGCATTCTCACGATGTGACAGGCTTGTTTCTCACGTCGTGTAATAACTTGTGTCAAAAAAATATATATGTAATATATAATCTGATTATATCAATTTAAAAGAAAGAGGATTAGTTCACAATTAATGGGTTAATTATATACAAATTATGAGGCTTAATGATCAAAACGTCACCTTGATTAGGCTAGTTAAATACGAGAAAATGAAAGGGTTTTGCCGGTTATAGACTTAGGAATTATATATAGCATGAAAAATCAAGTGGAAACCCCACTGGAATTGTGAAAAAAGACAAAGAATCAAGGGAGAAATCGGGTGTGGAATTTCTTGAAGATTTCCGGAGTTTTCTTGAAATTAAGGTATGGGCACTAAATTTAAGCTTGATTAGTTGCTTAGATAGATTTATATGCGTGTTAAAAATATTTTGGTTCAACTCAGTGTCTCAATTCGTTCCAATCGGTGTCAAATAAAAAAAAAATATAAGGAACGTTTTTGTGCGATAATTTGTTTAATCAACTGGGTTATGGAGCGAAAATTAGATAATTGTTTATGGGTTATGGTTGGCCAGAATTGGAGATAAATAATGGTGGTTTTTATTAAATTATTTGATTTCGTTTTGAGAAAAATCAAACTTCAGTATATTTAAAAAAATGGCTGGAAATAAAATGTTTTTTTCGGGTGAAGAAGAAGCACTACGGGTCTTGGTACAATCCGTTTACTCAAAGTCAAATATGCTTTATTAGTCAAATGGGCAATATGGGTGAATGGTTGAAGGTTACTGTTCATACCTTTATTGACGTTTTATTATATCAATTGTTACATTTTTAACTCTTAACTTTCAGTTCTATTTAATTTTGGCTATCATCAAACAAAACACGAATTTTAGATCTATCCCATTAGTTATACAAATTGCTGATTAAATTGAAGTTATGGAAATGAATGCATCTCGATTTTTTTTATCCTATATACCTTTATACTGCATAGTTAAAAAAATAATTTGGAAGTTTCCGAATGGTGCCATAAAAATATTTTAGTTTAGTTTGGAGTTATTTTCTATTTCATATTAAAGTATTATTATTATTATTTTAAAAAAGTATTGCAAAATATATAATAAAAAATTATAACTATTAGTTGGTTGAATGAGACATGTAGACAATTGAACCAAAATGATCGCATATGATGTTTTTCTAGGATTGTTATCTTACGAAAAATTATTGGTGGAATGTAGGGTGCGGGTAGCGTGACAAGCTCTGGTTAAGTCCTAAACGCCAACAAGGTGAGTTTCGTGTGAATTTTGTGGTTGCTTGCATGAAAAGTTGATTCTAAATTATTTGCAATTATATGTTACTGTTGTTATTGCTATGAAAATTTGTGTGAAATTTTATGAATTATTTCATATAAAAAAAAGGGTGAAAACGGTAGGTGGCATATAGGGAACAAATGTATTTACACGGTCTTATTATTAGTCGTCGTACAGGGTGTTAGTACGCGGCGGAGAGCTAACGCTTTATTTATCTACCCGTAAGCATATTTGTTGTACCCGGCGGAGGGACTTGTTCCCTGAAAATGACAGTAGTTCCCTAATGTGTCATCAAGGGTGGAAAGAAATGAAAAGAATTATATTGATAAATTGTTGCATTATTTTTATTTTATTGACATCAATATGCATGAAAACCACGAGCTCACTAGGCCCTAGGCTTACCCATTAGAATCTTTAAATGCACACAACCCAGGAAATAACGTAGCAAGTGGCAGCGGGAATGGAAAGGATAAAGTTCAGACTTGAAGAAGGCGACAAGTTTTGAGGAAGACGTAGCGCACCAAGTGTTTGATTATATTCCTATTTGCTTCCGCTATTATTATTAATAATTACATTAGTATTTGAATGTTGATTTTTTGAAGTTTTGGGACTACATTAAGTTATTTTGGTATTTGAAATTTGGGGCGTTACAAGTTGGTAACAGAGCCTGGTTTAAGCAAATTAGTCGTTGTTTAAATGCCTAAGCTTAAACGGGAGGAGCGGTACATCGCCTAATCTGGAATGCATCTTGTTTGTAGGTACTAAGGATCATGGAAAGGCAATCAACGATGGTGGGGTGTCAGTTGAGGGTACTAGTGGGTTACTTCACCACGAGAAGTTGAAGGCCGAGTTAGAGCTCTCTGACTCAAAAGGCAGTCTGGAACCAACGAATCCACTCAGCCTCTCTGAACGGGATGAAGAAGACAAGGATGTGGAATCCGAGGTGGAGGCCGAAGAAGATCCAGAGGTGGAGCCCGAAGAAGACCCTGATGAGGAACCCGAAGAAGACCCCGAGGAGGAACCCGAGGGAAATCACGTGGAGTACCATGTGGAACAAAGGTACGAAACATTCCATATGCCCTATGTGGAGTACACGCCAACTAGTCCTGGTACCTATTGGGAGCGACTTTATAAAGATGAAATGCCACATGCACAACTCGAGATACACAGTTTGAAAAGAAAGATTGAAGAGATAGTTGAACATAGGTCAAGGCTCGTACAGGAGAACCAAATAAGGGTTGATGCTGCTGAGAAAAGTAAACGCAAGATACGAAGGTTAGAACAGGAGGTGTCGGAGCTAAGGAAACCCACTATCACTAAGTTGTGGGAAGGGTTTGTGGCTCGGGCAAAACAAGCCAAGGCCGCGACTTACAGATTCCTAGATAAGGTGGTTGGAAGAGAACCACCTCAGGCTGAGGTGCTGGTCATTCAAAGTGGTCCCGGAGATCGAAAAGCTAAAAATATAAGGAAGTACTTGAAGGAGGGAAAGAGAATATTGAAATATGATGACATCGTTTTTAAAAATTAGAAAGTAGGAGTGCAATGATGTAACATCCGAAAAATACAACCAATTTAAAATTTTCAAATCAACCCGATTTTTCATTAAAATGTTTACAAAAAGGTTTTCAATACAAATCATTAGAGTATTCCCAGAATCACATTGCTACAAAATCATGAGGAGCGGTACGATCACGCCTTCGCCTTGCCACGGTCTCCTGAAGAACCTGAAAAACATTAAACCACAACTGTAAGCCCGAAAGCTTAGTGAGATACCCCCAAAATACCAACCACGCATACGCCCTTCCAGGCTGCGACCTTCCGGTCCAAAACATATAAAACATACATAACATAACAGAACATAGAACAGCCATGCATATCGGGTCTACCGTGTGACTGGTCCGCCGTATCAGGCCTTCAGTCCATCGGATCCATCCTCCAGGTCTAGTCATGTCCTTCGAGTCTACAGTGGGGTTGGTCCGCCCGCATCGGGCCTTCAACCCACCTGGTCCACTCTCTGAGTCTACAGTGTGACTGGTCCGCCCGCATCGGGCCTTCAGTCGGCCTGGTCCACTCTCCGAGCCTCGGCACGTCTGGTCCGCCCTCGTGGGGCCTACAGCCTATCCGGACCGCTCGCTGGGCCTTCGGAACAACCGGTCCGCCCTGGGTATCTTGGCCTACAGCACAAAGCAGGACCCGCCTCAACCCATCTCCAGTCCAAACAACCATGTGCACAAAACATACATTCATATAACAGTCATAGTCAACAAACCGAGCAAGCAGATCACATAGCATATCATTACCCTAACCGGGTTACCGACCTAACCGGTCACTAGCATAGCATCACTCTGTATATCGGGAAACTGACCTTAACAAGGTCTCCTAGCATGTACCATCCTAGCTACCAGGATGCAGACACATCAAACAATAACATAATAACCATATCCGAATCTCAATCCAATAAAGGGCCGGCCTTGGTGCCTTAGACCCTGTTGATATAGTGAGGATAACTCACCTCGAAACTGTCGGCTGAAAGGATAAGATCCCGCTGCTCCGAACTCTGACACGAACTCCTCCACTGAACTTCAAAACATACAACTCAATAAATATCCTTAATTACCAAAATACCCCTGGAAGACAACTGGTCAACCTTGGATAAGTCAAAGTCAACCCCTGACTGACCCTACTCGCCGAGTCAACCTGATGACTCGCCGAGTCCACATGCTCAGAACTTCCTTCACTCAGCGACCCAACTCGCCGAGTCACCCCAAGACTCGTCGAGTCCAACAACTCTGAGTCCACTCGCACCCAACTCACCGAGTCATCCCTTGACTCACCGATTCATCGACTCAACCAGAAATATTGGGACTTCCTCGACAAGACTTGCCGAGTCCAAATGGACTCGTCGAGTCCAAGGCTATCTTCAACCTACTCGCCGAGTTGTTCTTCCAACTCGTCGAGTTCCAGGCCATCTTCAAGCAACTCGTCGAGTCGCCCCATGTGACTCGACGAGTACCATCGGTCTGAATCCATACAGAAGCATCTCAGGCCATGCAATTTATCCAAAACGTAGATCCAACCTCCTACAATCCATCCATCACGTAAAGTGGCAAACTTTACGTGAATCTAAAGAGCTCTAAGCCTTATTCACCTTAGAACCAAGGTTTGGGACATGGTGGCTTCACTAAGCACTCAAACACATGAACTTTAATGCACTCTAGGCCTTCAATATTCCAGATCTGAGGTAGCAACCTCAGATCTATCCTCCAAACTCCAAAACATTCCAAGACATACTCCCCACAAACCCCAAAATGATGAAACTAGGAATGCACAGCCTAAGGACGAAAGTATTACCTCCAAAAGATGCCTCAATAGCAGCCAAACTTGAATCCAAGCAAAGCCCTTTGATCCAAGCCACTTCTCCTTCAAGATTTCTTCAACCAACACCTTTCCAAGCTCTAATTTGCTCCACAAATGAACTCTCCACGAATTTAGGGTTTCTGGAACTCAAGGGGGGATAAGGGAGGCTGTGGAGGGGTATAATGCTCTTTATATAGGGCTCAACCCCGAAAATTAGGGTTTTCTCCACACAGCACCTACTCGCCGAGTCCATCTTTGGACTCGCCGAGTAGGCCACTTGATACGCGACCATAGTCGCGACCTGACTTGCCGAGTCTATCCATGGACTCGCCTAGTCACCCTCTAAAACTTACACTTTTAACCCTTCAACTCTACTCTTACGATTCCGGGATGTTACAATTCTCCCCCACTTAAATTAGGCTTCGTCCTTGAAGCCTACGACATCTCATCTTCAAATTACTTCCCACGACACGCCACCTGACCTTGACCGAACCAAGTCCTTCAAGGTACAATCATAGAAACCTGAAGCTCGCTTTCTCCTTCCATACGGTGTCCCCACCACCTACTCAAACCGGGCACCAGCTGTACCCTCCGATAACCACACTCAACAACCGAGAATTACCCATGATGCCTTACTGCTCCAATTCTCATCTTTCACTTGACTCATATGGCTATAGAGCCACGAACCATCGGATCCCCGATCCGAATTCCACTTTATCCATCCCATGACGACCGAAAGACCCATTCTTCCATTCCGGAGCAACTCCCCCGAGTTCTCCTCTCGCAATCACACACACATGCTGATCAAGCTCTAGCACCCTCAGGTTTGGAAAACCTGATACACTGATGATATCCTCAAACATCCTTCCAGGATGAACCGCTAATACATACCCAAAACCCTGATCAGAATCTCACTGAGGTTGGAACAGGGGAATATGACTGTGCGAGAGTACAACACTAAGTTTACGAAGAAAGCTAAGTTTGCCGAATTTTACGTTTCTATAGAAGAAAGAAGGGTGGAACGCTATATATGGGGATTGAGAACAGCTATCCGTGAATTTGTGCAAATTCAAAAACCAGGTACTTTCCAATCTGCTATTGATGCTGCATAAGGTCGCGAACGTGAGAAGAATCGTCAAGGTGAAGACAGGGCTTTGGGGAAAAGAAAATGGGATGGTACGAATAATGATTCAAAGAAAGGCAAGACTTCAGGGCAAGAACGTAAGGTTGACCAAAGCTCTGGAATAAAGCAATGTCCGAAATGCAACCGTCATCATAAGCGGGAGTGTAACATGAATCAGAAAGTTTGCTACAAGTGTGGGAAGCCAGGTCACATAGCCACAGAGTGTAAGACAGGAAGGGTATGTTACGAGTGTGGTTCCCCTAACCACATTAAGTCGAAATGTCCCCAGAGTAAAGGTAACAACAATCAAGGTAGGATAACAGACAATCGGTCGACGGATAAAAAGGCTGACATTGGTAGACCAAAAGCTATAGCTTTTCGTATGACAACTCAGGAGGCTTAGGAAACCCCGGATGTGGTGACAGGTACTTTCCTAGTAAACTCAATTCATGCTAGGGTATTATTTGATTCTGGTGCAAATAGATCTTTTGTGTCTACTACTTTTTTCAAAAACCTAGGTAGAAATGCAAAGACTCTAGAACATGCCTTAGAAATTGAAACTGCTGACGATCGTTGCGTAGTAGTAAGAGAGGAATATGATGATTTCTCTATCGAAATAGAAGGTAGTGTGCTACCGTTAAAACTATTACTTATAGCCCTAGGTGATTTTGATGTTGTTTTAGGGATGGATTGGTTGTCGAAAAACCAAGCGATTATAGATTGTGAAAATAGGATTGTTCAAGTTTGGGTGCCAGAAAAAGGAATGGTAAAGATTTACGGTGATCGGCGAATTAAGGACTCTATTTTGATATCAGTGACTAAGGAAACTCGTTATCTAAAGAAAGGGTGTCAAATTTATTGGGCATATTCTCTCGATTCCAAGCAGGACAAGCCTGAAATAACACATATACCGGTTGTACGCGAGTTCCAAGATGTGTTCCCCGATGACCTAACTAGCTTGCCACCAGATAGGCAAGTGGAGTTTTGAATCGATCTTACCCTAGGAGTAGCACCGATAGCTCGTGCGCCCTATCGGTTAGCACCAACCGAAATGAAGGAGTTGATGGCTCAGTTGCACGATTTGCTCGACAAGGGTTTTATTCGGCCTATCGATCTTACCCTAGGAGTAGCACCGATAGCTCGTGCGCCCTATCGGTTAGCACCAACCGAAATGAAGGAGTTGATGGCTCAGTTGCACGATTTGCTCGACAAGGGTTTTATTCGGCCCAGTACCTCACCGTGGGGTGCACCAATACTATTCGTCAAGAAGAAGGATGGGACAATGCGAATGTGCATTGACTACAGGGAGTTAAACAAGGTGACCATAAAGAACCGGTATCCATTACCGAGAATTGATGACCTATTCGATCAACTCCAGGGGGCAAGTTACTTCTCAAGGATCGATTTGCGGTCGGGGTATCACCAACTGAAAGTCAGAGAAGAAGATGTATCGAAGACAACCTTTCGAACTAGGTATGGTCATTACGAGTTTTTAGTAATGCCATTTGGTTTGACCAATGCACCAGCTGCATTCATGGATCTGATGAACCATGTGTGCAAGCCATACCTAGACAAGTTTGTAATTGTATTTATCGATGACATATTGATATAATCTAAAAGTAAGGCAGACCATGAGCAACATCTGCAACTAACACTTAGTTTATTGAGGAAAGAAAGATTATTTGCCAAATTTTCGAAGTGCGAGTTTTGGCTTCGGGAAGTCCGGTTTTTGGGACATGTTGTAAACGAACATGGTATCAAGGTGGACCCAGCAAAGATTGACGCGATTGAAAAATGGGAACCACCAAGAACCCCATCATAAGTTCGAAGTTTTCTTGAGTTGGCAGGATACTATCGAAGGTTTATACAAGACTTCTCACGCATAGCTGCACCGCTAACTACCCTGACTAGGAAAAATGTGAAGTTCGAATGGAAGCCAGAGCAAGATAATGCCTTTAACGTCTTAAAGGAAAAGCTTAACAGTGCACCACGATTATCTTTACCAGAAGGCAATGATGGCTTTGTTGTTTATAGTGATGCATCCAAGC